GACAATCAAACTGTCCGCCAAAATAGGCTGAAACGAATATGACAGAAACAGAAAACAGACATTTACAGAGAGTGAATACCTCGAAAAACAACAAAACAAGATCACTGAAAAACTTACTTGAAGGTAAAATTGTAATTTTAATATAAAAAGTCAAAAACGCAAAAAAGTTTATCGATATATATATAAAAGCATTATAAGTATTTCTTAAAGAAAATAATATATAAAATGACGGAAGTGATCGTGGATTTCATACATGCTAGTTGTCTCATTGGCACTCATACCACATCTTCTTATATCTATATATTCAATATTTGTTATCATTGTAATATTATCTTCTTTGTAACTATGTATATTGTTTATGAGAATAAAGATCATTAATTCATTTATTCAGAAGCTGTATATGAGATTGAATGACCAAACAGGTATGGACAAAATTCTTATTCCATATTCAAAAAGGTTTTGAATATGATTTTTAATTGTTATATGTTATAATTCAAATCAAGGACAAACTAAACAAATAAATTTCATTGATATGGAAAAGAGAAAATAAACTTATAATTCCTAATTGTACTGCAAACAAAACTCAAAGCAAAGGAACAGAGAATGTATTGCTGTTCCCTTATAGTTTAAACATCACGGTGAGACCTTCAACTTGGAGCATAAACTCGCGCCTCAAAGCAAGTCGATGAAGGTCCACAGAACCGGTTTGAGAGGTTATTCACAGTGAAATCATTGGAATTTCAGTCCTGTTGTAGTCATGTTTTCAATGCATAATTTCATATCATATAAGTAAGTAATTTCAATATTGGGTTTCTAATGCCAACCAATGAATTGTCGTCAATATAAAAATAAGAGATGTGGTATGATTGCCAATGAAACAACTCTCCACCAATGATTAAATGACTTAGAAGTTGATAGCAACTATATAGGTCACCGTACGGCCTTTAACATGTGGAGCAGGATCTGATTACCCTTAAAGAGCATGTTACTCAATCTTTAGTTTTCTATGTTGTGTTTTGTAAACTGTTGTTTTGTCTTTTGGTAATTTTTATTTTCACGGTCAGTTCGTTTTCGACTTATAAGTTTTATAATTTCCGTCTCTCTGTTGCATAGAAGGCATATATTCGTGTCGGGGTTCTCTATATCTCACAATACGGCATGTGTTTTGCTCATTGTTGACGGACGACAGTACGGGTCGTACTGTCACCTATATAGTTGTTAAAATCTGCTTGGTCTTTGGTGGATTACTGTCTCATTGGCAATCATACTATATCTACTTGTATGCATGCATGTCTCTTTTACTGGTATAGTAAAATATTTTTATCCTTTGCGTTCATATGTGCAGACAATATCATGTAGGGTATCATTTGTTTCAATATTCAGATGCAGCTAAACACCGCAGTCCTATTCGGATATAAAAGAGGTATGGCAAATTTCTACTGAATTTGTTTCACACCAACGTCATTTTCATATTGTTCAATCTTTACTTAAATTCAAGGTGATCACAGCTCAATGCGTGAACTTTAAGGTTTTATAATATATAAATATTCAAATCGCCTAATAATAAACTCCATAAGATAGCCCAAAACATCTCAATTTGTCAGGCGAGAAGTATAAAGCTATGTAACAATGTGTTGTCTTTCTGATATAAATTAATTCGTCTTGGCGACGTCCTTTGATGCAAAATTCAACAAAAGCATGTAAAAATTTGGAAGTTTGTATCAAAATGCTTTTCAACAGCAACACATAGCGCTGAATAGCATTTTGATTTTATGGAAATATGTAATATTGATGAAAATATATTTAAAGTAGTCATATATATTATGTGTGCTTAATCCAATAAACTATTTGATTTGATTTGATTTGAAAGTATATGATATAGACTCTTTAATATTTAGATTTTGAAAATGTGAGTGAAACAATTGTAGGGGAATTGGCCCTACTACATCTTTCATAAAATTCCGAAATACCGTCTACTTGTGTATAGTTCGCCTAACTCATCGGCAGGCGACATCACAGCTCATTGCGAGAACTTTAAGGTTTTTATAATATAATGGCTTATTTCAGAGCACCTAATAATAAACCCCAGAAGATAGCCCAAAACAGCATTTTGTCCGATTCTGGCAAAGTTTGAATATTTATCCTATAAATGTATAAAAGGACCACGTGAAAAGGACGTCGTTAACAAAAACTAAAATTCTGTTAGAAGTATAAAGCTATGTAACAATGTGTTGTCTTTCTGTTGTTCTTTTGCACATAGAAACTTTTTTTCCGGCTGAAAGACTTATGCGAACAATTGATTCTTTGACAAGCAATAAAGTATAATTAATTTGATGTTCTGTAACAAAGGTTTAAGTGTCATTTACACTGAATGTTAACATTGATACTGTTTTATTGGTAATACTAATGCCAAATCTGAAATAAATTTTATCAAATGACAATCAATTGTGTTCAGCTTAATTTGAAATGTCCTATCAGTGTTGAATGTCTATCACCAGAATAAATAGTAATGTTTCCCCCAGTGGAGTAGTTAACCCGGTACCAGATTGTTCTAGATACTGGTTCCTTTCCTTTGGGAACTGTTTTACGATGTGCACTATGTCAAACAACAGACAAGTTTATCAACAATGATAAATGATACATTTTAGTCATTTAAAATTACTTATGCCAAGATTTGTTGGTAAGCGCAAAATAAATAAATACCTAAATAAATAAATGATACAAAACTAGTTCTTTTGCACACAGAAAATGAGGATCAAAGACATATTTGTGCCCACCCATGAAATTGTAATTACAAATAATGGCACAATTACAAATAATGGCACATCAATGACTTTACAAATTTTAAAATGAGCAAGAAGCAAAAAAAGACCAAAGAAATGAAAAAAGAAATGTATCATCTACTGAATGTTTAGATGTTGCAAATAAAAGATGATATTTAAAAGATAATATCTTCATAGCTGATATTAACGCTTTACAGTACATTTGTTGTAATATAGTTCACCACTATATTAGGCTAACGTTATGTTTTTTTCTTTGTTTTGCATCCACTTTCTGGTAGTTGCTAAAAAAAAAACAATGCTCACAAATACATATATATATAAAACTATCTTTTGAAAACCAGGAAATGTGTCATCAAACTGTGTTTTTTTTACCGTTTTTTTTTAATTTGTTCATGTTTTTCTTACTTGCTTACTGGTATAGATTTTCAAAATTGATTTAAAGCTAAACTAATAAAATATAGACATGGCCTAAATCACAAAATACAATCTACCCGCTAAAGCAATACGAATTAGACATCAAGGGTGACGTAAACAACCACAGATAAAAAATCATGGCAAATCAAAAGGGACGAATGAAACTAACCAATAGTTAAACAAAAAACTAAAGATATATCATAACACAAGCCACCCGGACTAGTTTTAATTTTTTGTTCCTAAATATATTCGTTTAGCCTTTTTTTTTGGTTCACTGTTTTTCGTTGAAGTAGTTTTTGACTTGATATCACGAAGAAATAACTTTCTGACAAAGTCGCATCAACAATTATATTGTTCTCACTAATATTCATCGGATGTGATTTCCTTAATTCTAATGAGCCGTACCGGAAATTGACACCTGTCTACATACCTTCAGATCTACATCTACCCTTGGGATACATGTAACTTGATATACCAAGAAGTACCATAAGGTGTTTATCTTTTCTTATTGTGTGTCACTTTTTCAATTTTCAATCTATTGTTATATGTTGCATCATGATGAGTACATTGCGTCATTTAATTAGCACTTATTATTACAGCTATAATTTACATGGTTATAGATGTTCAACATTTTCTCAAAGATATGTATCATCGAATGTAATTGTAAAGATTTTAAATGAATATGACACTATATAAATTTCGTGTGTCCGAAGCGCCAAGTTTTTTGGATTTTCCTTCATCATGAACGCTCATACCTTTACATTTGAAAGCCAGGAATGTGAAAAAATGCGTAGTAACGTTAGATCAAAAATGCCTAATAAGAATAGCCAATCCATCTCAGGTCAACTTTTCCTGAGGAAGTTGGAATCTTAGTTACTTAACTTATCAATGGGAATTTTAGAAATGGTTAACCTGAACTTTTGTTTTGCATAAGACAAAATAAAAAATACAGAGTATGTCCACATATATAGGGACGGAAGAGCTTGATTAGGTACTATGATGTCGCTATTGATTACTTCATCTTGCCATATCTACAATGTTAAATTAAAAAAAAAAGAAAACGAAAAGCACACCAACAAAGGATTGTATGCGCAACAAAGATTGTGATATAAAACCAATTTGTAAAAACCATTATACCCAACACAGCACGTGGATTTAAGCAATTCTTAGTCTTTGAACTTATTTTCAAACACAACTTTCTTTTGAATTTCGAATTCCTAAAGATGTACCAAGAACTTATTTGGACTTTCAATCATTCAATTATATATGGACATTGTAATTTCATGTCATACATTATATTCCATTTGATTGTTCTATAATAATTTTATAGCAAATTGAGGAAGCCAAATTGAACCAATGGTACGTCATGATAGTGCTAGAGTCATCTCATTGAAAGTTTTACGGCGCCATAATGACCTATATAAAATTATAATATCACATATAACTATGGATATCTTCATTTGGAACAACACAACAGATGCCACAAGTGAAGCAGGAACTGTTTCACCCTGTCGGAGCATCTTAGTTCACCCTGATTTTTTTTGTGGTTCCTAAGGCTCAATCTTCAGTTTTCTACATGCATATAGTTTTGTGGAATGACTCTATTGTATGACTTTCGTATTTTTTGGATTTACAGGTTTTGTATTGGCTTTTTGATATCTTCTCACTTTAAAAAGAGGTCAACAAGTTTTAATTACCAATTATTTTATTTTTAACAATTAAGATAATGAAATATGTCATAAACTTAACAAAGTTTACAAAAATATATGTAACAAATATATCATGTTATAGTTATAGGTCAAATGAGAGGAAATAAAGAAAAGATATAGTGAAATATAATGAAGGTATAGCGGGAAAATATAAAAAAAAAACCAGTTTATTTACATCAGAAGTAGAAGTGAAAAGAGAAATATCAGAAGAATGATAGGTGCGACTTAAAACTGTCTACCTTTGGAACTAAAATTAAAATATACATTTCTAATATACATATGTGTTGCGTAGAAGTGCACATACTGTCTACAGAAAATACAATTAAAAAGATATCTACAAAGAAATTGTTTTTGGCACTATTAGTTATCATTTGTTTGTGTACGTCATTCACATATTGCACTAACAGGAAGAGACATTTGATCAATATCCGTGCGCGGGTACTCCTGTCCATAGTTGTCGTCCTTGTGCGTGTTCATCCAACATAAACTGTCCGTATAATTTTAGATTTTCACTAGAACGAGAAGAAACCGGAGTAAAGCCTGGTACCATTCCAGTAAAAATTGGATTCAAAGCCGTGATTGGCGACAGCGCTGCTGTAACGTGTGATGGCGTCGTAAAAAATTGTGCTGAAGAAAATGGAGGGGATCTTTCGAAATGAGGAGACGTCAATGATGATGTCCTTCTAAAGTCATTCGAATTAAGATTTTTGCTGTAGCACTTTGGTGTAGATTCTGTCAAACGAGATATACTGAAATTTGTCAAGAGTTGTTGATCATGCGAACATCCTATGCAACGCCCAGTGAAAACCTGTTTGTCTGTGACTGTGAAGGTTTTTCCACATTTTAAGCATTCATCTTGACTGTCATCTACAAGAGAAATGGATAAGATATTTTAGTAAAATAATTCTAAACATTAAAGTTATAAGATTAGAACAATAACACCGATTTATTTTTTGGAAATGCATGTATTGTAAAAGAATTTTCAAAAGATTATTCGATTGTATACTATTTAGGCAAAAAGGTATTCTAAATCTTAAACATATGAATTTGCTGTTATCCTAAAGACATTAAAAGCTTTTCGTTTTTTGATTGAGTTAAGCCTTCCAATTGATATTTTATAGTGTGTTTTTCTATGTTGTGATGTTATACTATTGTTTCAGAAAAGGGAGAAGGTTTGGTACCATTAAAACGTTTAATCCCGCTGCAAATGTTTGCACCTGTCCTAAGTCAGGAATCTGATTACAGTAGTTGTCGTCTGTTTATGTAGTTCATACGTGTTTCTCGTTTCTCGATTTTTATATAGATTAGACCGTTGGTTTTTCCGTTTGAATTTTTTTACACTAGTAATATTTTGGGGCCCTTTATAGCTTGCTGTTCGGTGTGAGCCAATGCTCCTTGTTGAAGGCCGTACCTTGACCTATAATGGTTTACTTTTATAAATTGTAACTTGGATGGAGAGTTGTCTCATTGGCACTCATACCACATCTTCCTATATCTATTTACAACTTAGTGAAAATTGCCTAAATCATACATGTTATAATGTACTTACTTTCATGTGTTTTCATGTGAGTCCTGAGGTTACATTGAAGAGCAAACTTCTTCCCACAAACTAAACATGCATGAGGTTTGTCACCTACAATACAAAAAAAAAGTTGTCATCAATAACAGTCGAAGGTAAAAAGTCTAATAAACTTGAACAGGATACTTCGTAAAGATACTGTATATTGTTGTTAATTAATAAACTTGAAGAAGAGGCTTCACAAAATATGTTTGTATTTTATGTGACATTATTCTATTTTCTTAAATGGTGTAATTCAATTCACATTACGCTATCTATTGCTTCATATATGTACAAATGTTTTTTTTCTACAATGTATACGAATATCAATTATATACTATTGTTAAAAATATTCACAGCATATATGTGACTTTGTTTCATTTCTTTGACTAAGAAAGCTGCGTTATTTAAAATTATTAAAATAAGATTATGATTTCCAATGAGACAACTCCCCACCAGAGACCAATTGTCGTAGAAGTTAACAACTAAAGGTCACCGTACGGCCTTCAGCAATGAGCAAAACCAATATACATTGTATATATAGGTGAATTAAGTGCTTTTACCTGTATGTAACAATAAATGATTTTTAAGGTTGGTCTGTTTGCTGAATCCTCTATTGCAGATTTCACATTTATATGGCCAGGATCCGCTGTGAACATACATATGACTTCGTAAATCTCCTGGGGTCGGGAACGACTTGGAGCACATGTTACATTTGTGTGGCTTTTCCTGCAACAATATAAATATAACTATGTTATTATATACAAATATTTCATTAATTTACTATATATATCCTTTGTTGCATTCTGATAAAACTATATTCAATGCTGACGTAAAAGTGTACAAAGATTGCTTTGGTTGGATGTTAACTAGCATCAAACAATTAATGATGTGTACTTTGTAAATATACAATATGTTCTGACGTCTGAAAATCTTTTTCAGGATTTGCCAGCCTCTGAAAATCCTGAAAAGGGCCATCCGACGTCAGAACAATCTCGGATTAGTTAAACCCATTTGATGTATACATATTCGAATTTACTGCTAAGACATATTGACCGATGAAATATTAATAGATATTAAATTTGCAACTTCCGTATAAGCAGGATGTAGTCGGTGTCAGAATATACAAATGTTATTCTATTTTTGAAAATATGATAATACTTTTAGTTATTTTGATTAAATGCATTTATAATTATGGCCCAACTCTTTAACTGTTTAATAGTGGTACAAAACTATAAATAGTAACACGCAATTAACTATGGAAAAGTCACACGCAACTGTTATACATGTATACAAAGTACTATGGAATAGTCTCACGCAATTGTTACAAGAAGAACAATGAACTTTACCTTATTATGGGTCATTCTATGATAGTAAAGGTTAGAAGATGCTGTAAATCGTTTGCCACACACTTTACACTGGTGGGGCTTTTCTCCACTGTGAATCCGGCGGTGGGTGTTCAGGGAGGAAGAAGTAGAGAATGCTTTGCCACAAACATCACAAGCATGGGGTTTTTCACCTGAAATCAGAAAAAGCTTTCATAAACTAAAATGTAACAATTTATATTATTATACTTCGCGTTAAAATAACAGGTTTTGATTGGTTAATATACGAAGATGACATTCTACTCTATGTCTTAATATGTATACTGCTATTGATCTTTAGGGTGCCCTTGCACTGTCTGGTTGATGTCTCAACATCGTATACTCCAATGTTTTGTTACAGAATGAATAATAGAGTTTCAGTCAATATAAAAAAACGGTTAGCGTAAAATATAAAAATGCTTCATCTCTAGATGGTTTCTTTACAGTATGAACAACGTTAATGAAATAACAAACATGCCACAAAAGAAGTAAAGTTGATAACACAAAATAGTTATATTGATATCCCGTACCTGTGTGGGTGCGCATATGTCGTTTCAACAAAGATGGACGGTCAAATCGTTTGCCACATACTTCACATGGTAGCCACGTTCTTTCTCTGTTCCGCCTGACTGGTTTCTCCGTAAAGTCTGGGCTACTGCTGGTTATGTCTGATTCAGTAGAGTCTGTTGGTTTACTGGATATTATCCCACTGCTGTTGTGACTAGAAGCGGATATGTCCTTGCTGGAATTTAAGCTACTCTCATGACTAGAGCTGGGAATTTCTGTGCTTTCTGATTTTGCCTGTTCGTCTTGATCTTCACCACAGCTTGTAATATCGCTCAAACTAGAACGGCAGTCATCTTCTCGAGACATCTCTAAGGAAGAGTTACTGTTCAGAACCGGTGACGTCTCATTCTCAATCTTCATACCTACAAAATATGATAAGAAAACTTAATTTAGGATAACGTATAATTTTGTGAGAGATTTTTATCTCGTTGAAATAGATTTTTTTTTTATGATTCTTGATATTAAAAATGTCTATCTTTACAAATTCGTTATATCGGCATTTTCTATCATTAAAATTTCGTAAATAATTATTTCTTTATTTTTTTAATGTACAGGAATACTTACTACTTTCCATACATTCGTCTGCGTCTCCGACAACGTCGATTTCTTCTATCGTGTCGTCTGCCTCAGACTGGATATTTACATGATCAAAGAAGACGACGATTTCATCGTTTGGTTTGACTGGACGGATGGTTTGATAAATAGGCTGGTCTTTCACAATAGCAGCAATGAAGTTGACATCGTTTATGTTTCCAGAAGATTTGCTAAATCGGATCCAATTACAATGTCGCACCTTTCTGTTTTCAACGTCACAGATTTCATCATAACAACCAAATTTGTAACGTATCTGTAAAAAATAGAATGGGAAAATGTACTAAAGGTTAAAAATAAAAACAAAATACTTTATAGCCGAATTGTTATAGAAAATGTAACTTTTATCACCTTTTGAATATTTCATGAGTTGCATCTGTGCTTGTTTTTTTTCTGTAATTTTGCATACGATTTAACTTTTTTTATTTCATTTTTCAGTACAGTTCTACTTTTGCGTTAAGTAGTGAATTTTTTTCTTTTTTTTTTGTCCGAATGTTTGCATGCAAATATTTGTGCTTGTTGAATTGTATTTTTATGGTCTAGTTTCCACAAATTACAGCTGTCCATATCAAATTGTAAAATAAGCTATTGCAATACATCACTGATATGCAGTAACGAAAGCCTTTATACATTTTATTTTAATGGTCAATTTGTCCAAACGTAGTAATCAATTACAGTTGTTATCTGAAGGCAATTTACCAATCGTCTTCAGCACTTGTTCTGTCGATTCGCCACGCGCCATTTGACAGACGACTGCACTTTCACGTGCGTCTTGTCAACGTACCAATTAGAACAGGTTGCCGTTTTATTCATGAGATCGAATCAAAATTCAGAACATGGTTATGTTACACAATTGTTGTAACTTTTTTTACTTTAAATCCCTTTATTGCTTAAATCCGACATTTGAGGTCATACAGACACTTCAGTGTACTTCAACAGAGATGAAGACACAAATTCTAAAATGTTTATTGTACTTTAATACCAATTCAACTTTCCATTAAAAGCAATGATTCGAGTCTAACGCTCAGTATTGAACAGAAATGCTATTATCAATGACCACAATACAATTAACGTGCGGAATCTCGTGGCGTGTTACATCATTGTCCTTGGTCAATAAAAAGTATTTTTCTGGTTGATTTATTTTAAATTTTATTAATTTTCACGACAAAAATCCATTTTACCAACTCCCCTGTACCAAAACATGTGATACCACATTATCGAAAGAAAAACAGTTTACCGTCGTCGTTATCGGTTGCGCGTGTTAGTTGCAAAGTATTACGTCATGTGTGTTGGTTTATCTTCTATATCATGTATTACTCATTAATGATTATTACACTTCAAAACCTCAAATGTTTATCCATGTAATACGACCTGTTAACAACCGATCTGGATTTACTTGAGGCTGTTTGGGAAAATCGGTAAGAATTGAACCCATAAAATATTTGCCACTGGACGTTAAGCATATTGACAAAATGAAACTTTGCGATCATTTTCGTATTAAACATGCGACCAGAAGCTTTCCGAATTTGAGTTGACTAAAAGATGTCCCTGTAATACTGTTTTTTTTCCATTTTACCCACATCTATTGGTTTATCCTTTTTTCAAATAAAATCGATATTCAATGTAATTTTGTCATCTGCAAACCTGAGCCTTTGTTTTATATTTTATACAGGGTTTCTGAAACTTCCAAATCCTTTAATTAATTAACACAAGGCGCTTAGAAATGGGTGCTAAACTTTGAGCATCATAAAGTCAGTTATCAATTTGATAATATTAAACGTTTTTACTCAAAATAGTTTGCAGGACTTGCAAAGATTTGTATAAATTACAATTCCTTGGTACTTGTAAAAAAAATGATGAAACGGGAAGAATTTTCAATATCTATTTCTGTATTACTCATTGAGAAGTACCCTGTTCACACCTCACCATGTCTGGGTCTTAAATTTATGTTTCAACACGGAGATATTGTATAATTGACTGCCCAGCAGTTCATTAACAGCTCTAATTAATGTCTCGTGTGTGTATCTGCTTTTGATCAAGCACTGACCGATAAATTTCAAATTTATAATATTACCCTTGAAATAAGTTCGTCACTGGTCAAGTCTTACCAATGTATTTTTACGAGTTTTTGGAATGTAAATATGATATGATTGGGTATAACAAATTATGTGTTAATCAGTTTCGAGACTTCTTTGTGAATTAAGCAAAGTAAATAAAATATGAAGCGTGAAATATTTACTTATTATATGTTTATATATCACAAAGGTTTCTCACATTTTTGGGTTCCGGTGGGTATACGATTGCTTTGATCATTTCGGAACTGGTAACCCCTGATGGGAACTTCATCTATGTTGTAACTTCTTTTGATCATAGTCATTATATGTTTCTGGGGTTTCAATATTTATTAACTCAAAATCATATTTATAAATTGTACATATTTTCTATTGTAGTTAATTAATAACGCGCGACAATTTACCTATATTTTAGTATTTTTCCAAGAATTTCTGCTGTAGGGATATTTTACACCTTCGGAACTTTCACTGACGAGACTTTTTGTTAGTAATGTGACTAATACTATCATCTGAAGTGGCGGTTTGTATTATTTCTTAGAAGTTTTGTTGACTTAAAGAATTATTAACTTGTTCACTTATTTATCCTAGAATTATATTAATAAATAATTGAATAAAAGAAATCATCAAAGAGTGTGCCGAATTTTAATGGTCCTATTGTTGAGTGTGTATCTTTTTCACAAGTACATTAAATTGTTTTTGTATGAGGTGATACTTTGGAGCATTAGTATTGAGTGTTCCTACATATCACTTCCGATCAGGATTTCAGTCAGCTAAAAAATAAACTACTGAAGAATCGAAGATCTGTAGTACTTCTTTTTATAACAATTGTAAGATAAAGGTTCTCATGTGTCCCATATCTTAAAGTTTTTTTAAAGTTATTTTGAGAAACAGATTTTTTTCATTTAAAATTTTAAAATTTATTGACAGCTTTTATATACTCAGGACGATTTAGAACTTGACATATAGTATAGACATCTGTTATTGTTGGAGACTATATGTTGATCGCTAGATGTCTTTTAGTTGTTGTCGTTTGGTTGCTGTCGTATAGACGTATACCCACATCTTCCTTTTATTCATACTTAATATTTTTATAAAGAACGTATCATATACAGAAATGATAACTTTGTACATTTAACTCCTATATAGTCAACCATGACTGACTGCAAAATAAGTCAAAATAAAAAAAAATGAAACTTATAATTGAAATTTGCAACATATATGAATAAAAAGAGATGAGAGATATATTTGAATGAGATGGCAACCCAGCAACACAAAAAGACAAGCGGGTAGTTCTAGTTATTTTTGTAAATTTTCTCTTTTGGACTATTCATGCATACGCCATAGATTTCGATGTCAACACACGCATATGCACACAGAGAGAAAGCAGAGGTACATGTATAGACTTATAATAGAAAAACAAAGGATAATGTCTAGATGATAGTTATTGACCATTCTTATCGAAAAACGATACAGTAAGCATATAGATCATAATACATATGCTTTATCCTGTCTAATAAAGTTTTATTTTTGATACTTTAAAATAGTCTTTTCATTTAGATTTAGAAAAAAAACGAAATAAAGTTTTAAATGCAATTAAAAATTTAAAAGGTGTTTAATATTTAGCCAGTGTCAACACCAAAAGCTTAATATGCACCCTATAAATTAAATATATATCCTTTTCTTTCCTTATTAAACACCTATTTAACAAAAGACTTTTTCAGATGTCATCTTGTTTTTTAAGATTGTTTCTCGCTTTTTTAGAGATTTTTTTGCCTAATCGTCTTACTGATCAAGGTGGTTGATCAAAAGTGTCAACAAGATTGTGTTAAATTTCTTTGTTTTTCACTCTTGGTGTTTATGTTAAGAAGGAAGATGCGATTCATCAAGTACTATGTGTTGTGGGATAATCGTACGAGGATCGGATTATCTTCTTTTTAATGATGTTTTAAGTCTACATGCAGCTCTGTAGGTGTTAATATATTTGGGAAATAAAAAGAAGAAAAAACAAATGCCAGGAAATAGTACATCATACAAACTCGTGTTTAAAATTGAACAAGTATGATAGAAATTTGTTTCCTTCTACATATATCAAAAGTAAAGATTATTGTCTTTCAAAGCATCATTTCTGTAGATTGATAAATACGCATATTAACAGAACGAGTTGTGGACCGCTTTTAATCAAACACAGAAACAAATTCTATGTAAAAGTAAATGCAGTCATACCATGTTTAACGATATTCACAGTGGCTTTCTTCTTATAGTATATTTAGTTCGCGAATAGATGGCATATCAATAAAAATACACAATCGGTCAGGATGTATCCCAAAAATATCTTCTTCAGGAATCAATTGACAAAAAATTAAAAGCCGGTTTTTACACATTTGTTTTTATTGATTTTTTTCTGGTTTGTTTTTGTTTTTGTTTTTTTTTTGGGGGGGGGGGGGGTTTACGAATTACAGTGTTATTTTGGTAATTAATTACTCCTATAGGATAGTTCAAAAATATATAGCTACTGAGGATATCTACATTATGTATACGGTTCATATACGTGAAGATAATGATTCATTTCCTTTCTAGTATTAAATTGAAAAATATAGCCACGAATTTCAAGTTTTCTATGATTTTCTACAACTTTTACCTCTTTTTGAAGTTATAACCATAAAATAAATGTATAAAGAAAGCAAGAATTTCTTTTATATATTCAATGTACAGCTTGACATCAGAAAATGAAATTAATTTGAATAAAAAAAATTATATAAAGATAAAGACTATTTTTTTTTATTTCATTCACATGATTAAGGAAAAAAAGACGAAAACCATTCAAATACAAATCTTTAACTGTCTCTTAAATGATGATATAAAAGGATCCATAGTTGACCCCAATGCAAATGTTTCATTTGCAAATACTAAAAGTTTTAAACGAAATTCGAGATTTTAAAGAAAATTTTTATAGATTGTGACACGTATTATATAAGGTTCATGATTATAGTTCTATAAAAAATAAAAAGATGTGGTATGATTGCCAATGAGACAACTCTCCACAAGAGACCAAATGACATAGAAATTAACAACTATAGGTCACCGTACGGCCTTCAACAATGAGCAACAACTAGCTTATTAGTAATTTTCACCATTTCTTATCCAAGAAACTTATGCGATAATTTTGGAATAAATAATGGAAATGATAAATGAAGACTTGTCCATCCAACTTTATAAAAAAGCTGCAAACACTTCTCTGTGACAAAATATGAATATTTGAAACAAAAGCGTTACTTACATCAGTTGCAGGAAGCTTGGAAAACACTTCTATTTTGTCCAACTTGAAGACACCTTCGTCCGGACGGAAAATTGTTCCAGCAGGAATAAATGTATTGCTCCATACAGCTACGGACATCTCTAAAATGTTCTTAGGGTTTGGATGTAATGTCAAAACTAAACTAAATTGTTCTGGTATTAAAACACACGAATCCATTTTGAAAACAAAATTTCAATGTTCTTTTTAAATTCACTTTTAACTAAAAAATCATTTATAACCGTAGCTTTCGATTGTAAGTTTAACTTTTTGCCAATTTCTTAAAGTTACGTTAAGTTTATAAACAAGTGTCTAGTCGCGTAAAAAGTTTTCTTTAAACTTTGCCTACGGGATGATATAATTATATCCTAATGGTCACTAACTATTTAACTCATCATTATGATTGTAGTGACCACTGTCCACCCTGTATATATGTGATGTAATGAATAGCATCTTATTTGCTGTGATTTGATTGGCTGATTTGATTTAGCTACTTGTTGCTTTCTCTATGTGAGTCTTTCACACTTCATTGAGGCCTCTACTAGGTTTTTTCTGTTTGTCTAAAAGCAGGTAAATGATTGGTTGTCATTTGTCACAAAAACAGTTATTGCCCAAAGGAATATGCAAATATCAATAATTAAAATAAAATATAAAGAATTAAAAAGTTTATATTTACAATCTATTATTCTCTAAATCTATTCCAAACAAACGAGGGAAAAAGTAATTGAAAAAAACATTAATATAAAAAAAAAAAAAAATTGAAAAAATATTTATTTCTTTGAATGATTTTTGTTTAATTGGAAACAGTATATTTTGAAAAACTTTCATAGAGTAATTGATAAAAGAAACATTTTTAAAAGTTTCTCTTTGAGACAGGAAATAATAGTAAGAACAAAGTATATAGAGTTCAAAAATACTTTATTCAATCAACTAAATAATTTAACGACTTAATTATCATAATTATAAAATACGATAAAAAATGTGCAATTTAAAAAAAATCTTTTTAGTAAAGCATGCATCCATATATTTATGTATATCTATACCAATGCAATTTGGTTTGTTGAGAAATAAAGATATATATAAAAAGGAACTATATTAAACTTAATGCAAGTGTAAAATTACATTTAAAAAAAATCTTTTTATTAAATTAAATCGTGTTAAAAAACATGACTTGAATGACTACCTACACGTTATAGAATCTTAAATAGTTTTCAGACAGGCTTGATTCCTTATTTACAGACAAATGAAAATTCCTACAGTTGGCGTTCGAAATTTCGAAAATAATTGTAAAAAGAAAATTTCAAATAATATAGTAAAATCCCTTGTAAGACAAACAATTCACTGATAATTATAATAATTGGCATTAGACTGTTTTGAAAACACCAACATTGAAGTCTTTTACTCCATGTGTGATTCAAGGGAAGAACATCCTATATAAAAGGTACTTGTTAAGACATTAAGCGTTGAAAGACCTTTGATATATTTTTAATGAATTTCTAACAAGTCATTAGAAAAGTTCGTTTCCCCAAAACATCAGTTTTGAAAGTTTAAAAACCGCATTGGCGAGAAAGTGTCAGTTATCGAAAGAACTTACTTAAACATTTTTTCTGTAGGCAAGAGTTAGAACCGTTTTGATGACCACATTGATTAAAAGTGTCAGTCTCAGTACCACAGTGAGACTCTCTGTTGCTAGCTAATGTCTGACATCTTTACAATAGGTAACGGTTTACATATCTAATTTGACCGTTTATCTGGGTGGTTTTCACGTAGGTGAAAAATGGACGTACAACTGACCGTTACAAATCCAATGTGTTAAGTGTCACATTATATGCACATTAGGACATTGGAATACATTAGTGAACATCTTTATGATACAAGTGTTCCTTGTAAATATTTTGGCAAACACCATGATGTAATTATCAAGGTTAAATCAGTAACACAATCATTTTAAAAAAGAAAATAAATTTTTAAATAATCATAAAAGAAATAGAATACGTCATTCTTAAAAGAAATACCTTCACTGCCCTTTGAAAGAGAGCAGACCACTTGTTATGGATTATATACCTCTAAGTTCATCAACTATTCTTTTGTTTAAATTTCTTCTTTTAACATTTTCCATTGTATTTTTTCTCAGTTCTCTTTTGTCATTGTGGATTAAATTAATCACCAAGAAAGATGATGCGTATATAATGATTGCATTATTTACAAAACGAATAATTACTACTGCTTTTAAATTCCATGAATAATAACGGAATTTTAAGAAGATAAAGTCTGTTTTATGCTTCAAACCCGATTATCATCAATACCAAATACACAAACTTAATAAAATTTATTTTAAAAGGAATTATAAGTATTAGCAATTTGTCCATGGGTTGATATTTTTTAATTTGGTTCATTATTCCAGACGTATTATGATGTATCGGTGAAATATTTCCTTTTCAAAATATTGTAACATAAGTGATCGGTTTTGTGAATTGTGACCCTTTGGTGTATATTCATCCGATTAAAGATCTGTAAGCTATCCTTGAAGAGGATGACAATATAATAGATAACGGTTAAGTGGATCTTATTCATTGAGAACAGATGGATATATATCCAGTTATTTACATTTTTATTAAAATGTTTTGAATAGTTTCGATATGAGTGAAAAAGATGCTTATATGCTTCTTTAAGATTAAATCGTTTCAAGAAGGATCTTGAAAGATTCCGACAGAAATGTCCCATAAAGAAGTCTGTATAGACCTCAATTATAGAGAGACCTATATATGCGAACAGCTTATATCTTTCAAATATTTAGCTATAGCATTCTTGTATGGTCACTTCATTCGTATTTTAAGCATCAATACTGTCCCATGACCAACATTAAAAAATATATACCTGCTAAAAAATATATATATAAAAAAAAAACATGCAGGGACTAGAAGACATAAATTCACATAACAGCGGTTGCAATACAGAACAAATGACAGCGACAGATTTTATTTAAGATAACCATCATACATGATTATTTAATGATATTACAAGTCTTTAATTAAATATGTTAAATGTCCTAATTATTATTTATTTTATTTATCTTGCTGTCACGATGACATGACAAACATCCTGAAGAATATTCTTTCTGATATCTTGTATTGATAAAAGACAACATCTTATTTTGACTTGTCATACATCGGTGACAAGTACCCATACAATAGCGTTAACAAGACACGTTATGGTCTACCCCGATAGCATGGAGAGTCCATAATGACCAGAGTAACGGTCAGTTACAAATGTCCCCTCCAGTGTCCTGTAACGGTCTGTCCCCTACTGGTTGACACCGGTACAAGGGGTTAATTAAACAACAGGGACAATATGTAATATATACTGTAGACTAAATAATGATATAACACCGGAAAAGCTAAATTATGTAGAAAACGACCAATATATTTTTCGTGTATAATCGAAGACCAAAAAAAATTGTCTAATTGGAGAGGGAAAAAAAACGAAGCTTGATTAACTAAATCAAAGCAAAGAAAAAAACCAATGAGATTGGTATTCAGAGTATAGTTTCAAATATTGTTTTTAGAACTATAGAACTGTACGAATATTAATATTGTTAAAACAAATACCAATAACAAATGATCATTAATAATAAATTGTAGGATTCAATATTAATAATGAATTTTACTACTTGTGTTTATTATGAGAAACATTTATTTTCGTCACCGCAGGGAAGATATATCACACTTCTTGTTTTATTGCACTTTTCACACCTGTAATCTATTGGCTTTGATCTCGTTATACACTTGTAAGGAACAGTAACGGTTTGATAACCAGTCAATACTCTGTTAATTAACAGCTTGTAATTATTCAATACCCCAATTAACACACCTCAGAGTAATTAATCAACTAATTATCGTTGACAAATACCTTTTTCATCGCTCACTGTGAGAAAAATTAAAATGTTTGGTTTTCACCAATAAAATGTGTGTAAACTTTATACTAACATTTTGTCATTTATACAAGATCAAAATTTTAATATATATCATCAAAATAATTATATTTTTATCCTTCACCAAATATAAATGAAATTTCTACACAAAAATAGTCGTATAATATAAGTCTAAATGATAACGATGTGCATAAATATTAAACCTGCATGCCTTTTATCTTTTTATTTAATTTATAGAAACAGGTCACAAAAAACGCATATGTGTAAATATTGTAAATAGTTTAAAATCACAGTTTAATTAAAATTTACTTAATTCGGATTCTTTATAACCCAACCCTTAATTGTTAACACAATTAATGTATCTTGATTTGAAGTAATCGAAACTATCCAATGACTTGACTAACATGTTTTAACTTGAGTTGTGCTGTTATGGGTCATTATCAAAAAAACATGCTAATATATGTTATTTTTTAAGTCACAGACATGAAAATATATCAAGATAACACTTGTATATGTTAGATATGAATGTTTTGTGATACGCTATATACAGTTTACAGTATGAAATGTTATAAATACATCCTTAATGTTTTCTGAAACCATTGGATATAGCTAGAATTAACTGTTATTTTTTCTATAGTACTTTTCAGACCTGAAATATGACTGTAATTCATATCCTTTTTTATTAGGATTTATCACTATTTATTGCATTTTGATATATACAAACAATTTTTAATGATTTGGATAGTGTATATATGTTGGTTTTATAATAAAAAAAAAAAGAAAAAAAAGAAGAGTCTCATTTTTTTAAGTCACTGGTGTAACCAAAAGACAAATTGGTTGGGTAAGAGTTATCTTTCTTAAGATTTCAGGATTTACAATAGTTTTTCTCCTAGCAATGTTACCTGTAAGCATGTAATGCAGACGACAAAAAAAATCTATGTTGAAAATTAGTGAAAAAATCTTAAATGTAAGTGAAAGCTGTATCGTAAATGAATTTAGTGTCCATGGTGTACCCTTAAAAAAATAATTTTCCAAAAGATTTCCTACACTTTGATTTATGAAAAAATATTGGTTGTAGAAACATGCACAGGAACAACATATAAAACAGGGGAAGGGAGCACTTATTTTGCAACTGAATCTTAAAATACACCTGTACGTCATCTTTTAAAAAAGTAACACCATTGACCAGCTTAGTAACACCACTGAATATATTATGACAATCAGCAATTTTTTGTGTTTGTTTTTCATGTTTAACAACCGAAACATCATATTTTTTATGTAATATAATACTTATTTAACAATGTTTAAACAATATAATGTATTACCTATACCAAGTGTTCACAAATTGGTATATGCTGGCAGAGACATATAATACAATCTAATTGTATTATATGTCTCTGA